CACCAGTAGTTATGACCACGTCAGATGACAACTTGCCGTAGACTATCTCCTGACAGACTCCATTAGTTCGAGTAAAGTGTCTTGATCAGTACAATGCATTTTCTCGGGATTCCCTTTACAGACAAGCATTGCCAGAGTACCCCTCAGTCTACAGAATCGAATGACGCCTTTAGGTCAAGAAATATAACGATTGTTGGACGCCGGTAAGAATGACTATGTTCCCGAATCTTTCGAAGGGTGAAGATATGATAGATACACCCTATTCCTGGTCTGAAGCCTGCCTGGTTCTCTAGAGTTTGTTCCTCCCGAGCACCACTTATTCTACGCATGATTATTGAGCCTAGGACTCTAGATACCGTGTTAGTCAAGCTAATCCCCCTGTGATTATCACAGGAACTCTAGGACTCACGCCTAATTTGTCATTTTGCATTCGGGTCCTACTCGAGGATTCACCTGGTGCCTGATGTCACTCAACGGTCGCCTCAGAATATGTCCAGTCCATATCCATTTACTTAAGAATATTAATTGAGTGATAGGTTCTTGGTTCATTCATTGACAGAGTTCCTCGTCGCTAATCCCTTCTAGTCAGCCATCTGATATATTCAGTATCAATACGATGAAGCCAGCCATTGGTAAAGTCTGAAGCATGTTGAAAATGCTTTCCATGGCATTCCAAACCTCAGAACTATATGGAAGAAGTGACTTGATACCAATGTTAAAAATTCGAATCCTGTTCCTTATGTTGAATGCAACACCGAATTTAGATTAATGATGGTTGGAAGTATAATGATTCGAATTTCTTGTCAGTAAGTGAACATTATTCTCAGTCATAGTAATGACTTACTATTTAATTTTCGAAATGGTTGGTGATTAAAGTGGAAAGGAAACCCAATATTCAAAGTATTCGCCTCCAAACTACTGGTCCTGCTCAACTATCAGAACAATATGATAACTAGATCCTAGTTTCACTGCATAGTGGCTAGGTGATATGTGAATCAGTAATACGTCACTGAGCATTCACCATCATGGTGATCTTCCGTCAGTTCTAATCACAATATATCCCACACCACTTGTTTGAATTATGTCTCGACCCAAATTTTCCTTCCTTCTACATAATTACCATCCATTTCAATAATAACAGTTTATCAACCTAGGTTTATCTCAGAGATTACCACAATCTATTAGATTTTCATTTCAATTAAACTTGTTATAGCATGGACACCAAGAGACGGTTAAAAAAACAGTGCTATAAGAAAGAAATGATATACTTGAGGGAAGACAATTAGAAGACCAGGTAAAAGTACTTATCATGCATATTCACAAGAGGGTTCATTACTTCGTAGTGCTTTCAGAAAAAGAAGAATTTTCAATATGTTTGCCATTGATTTCAGGTTCTGATCTACATTTGATAACGTTTGGAGCTCATGAATCAGAGATTTGTTGGTATCAAGTTGGTCAATCCTCAAAAGGGCTAAGCATGAAATATGTGATGTGACCAGTGTGAGAGTCGAAAGGAAAATAATATGTTGAATGATTAAACATACTTGAAAGCGAGTTCGACGCTTCACTATCCTATTACGCAATAATATCATGGAGAAATGCAGTGAGTTGTTAACCATCCAGTACATATGATTCACTGAAAAGGCCTTATGATCTATGTTCTGAGATTCTAACGGATTGACTCTTAATACACAACGTCTAACGACTTGCTAATAGACTATGAGGTAAAGGGGAATGTTGAGAAACCTGATTTGCGTTGAAGCATTCTGGTTAGCTATGCAATTTAGCTCACTAAGTATTGACAATAGTCTTTCTTATTCATCTATTATTTCCCCCCAGATGTTACTATCCTTGTAAAAATGTTAAACACTACCAGATCGAGAAAAAAATGGATAGTAGGCTAAAACTTTCTGAATATTTTGCCAAGATGATTACAATGTTGTGTGTGTGATTGATACACATAGTTTCACAATCGACAAATGACTTAACGAATTAGCTGCCTTTTTAGATAGTTTGTCAACTGACTGGCAGGCACTACTAATGGTTGACATAAACTGCCTCGAATTACTCAATAGTGTTCACTGAATTGCTCAGCTTACCCGATATGTACAAATGCTCGATAAATCAGAGAACTCCAACTCTTTGACTAACTGTTCCCAATGATAATCACAGTTTTGTTTTTATAGGTGTAACACCACCAGCTACTTTGAACATATACATATATATATATATTACTCCAAGAGAATACGTCAATAAGAAGGAACTTGTATTCTTTTGCACACAGTCAAGAATACAAAACACTAGCTTCAGTCTATGTTATGGTCTTACCTTAAACCCTTCCAAATGCCAAACAGTCAGTTTCACATTTAGGCATAAATCTCACCTAAACAAACTGGTTAGGAATCACGAGGTGTGCAACATAGATGGCACTGAAATAGAAACCAAGTCGGAAATTTAATACCTAGGAGTCATTCTATCTGCTGATGTTTCCTGGTCGTCTGATATCTTGATGATTTCTATGAAAATATTCCGTCTTACCTTCTACATCAAGAACTTAAGACACTCTGGTATAACCCAACCCTTACTCTTACAATTCGTTAACTCTCGCATTCTGCCTATTATTCTCTATGCCTATTATTCCCCCGTAGTTTTTCCAGAGCTGGCTACTGAAGAAAGACTATACCTCATTACGCAGAATGTTAAAGGTTGTCAGCAGGGCAAGCCACAGGGTACCACTTAACCAGCTTGTTAACATTCTGGTGGACAGGCACATGGACTCATGTGAAAAATGGGCTAAATCCATTTTATCTAACTCACACCACCCTCTTCATTCACAACTCTCTCCCTGTATCTCATCAGGAAAACCCAGAAGGCTATATAGAAAACTGTATGCTCCCACTACCAAGTACAAAAACTCAACCATACCCTACTTAGCTGGTGTTCTGTGAGATAAAGAAAGCATTAGGCGTGAAACTTATGATTTATTAAATAGTCAGTAGAACAAATGGATCTCGACTTCCCAACTCATATCATTTATAGGTACAAAGTCTCCTTTTCCCTCTCTTTTTTTCTGTTATGTGCTGCTTTGTTTCTTTCTTCCGCTTACGCCAGTAAATATGCTAGCATCTACTTTTCTAACACCTTCAAACACTGTTCAATTTTTGGATTTGCTACCGACGTGCCAATATGTTGTTGTCATAATGAACTGAGATTACCTTATTGAATTGAATTTTTGATTTTCCCGTCGATTGATTGGACCGAAGTGCTCGGTCTCAGGTTGACATGTCGGCTTCTTGTGCAGATGCTTCGACGATGTCCGGGCATTTAGTTAGTATGCAATTGGTGGATGGTGGCTAGCAGTGGAATCCAGGATGCGCATTTCGTCCTATTGTATACTGAGATTACCTTAATCTATGTAGAATTTATTTTATTGATAATGTACTAACTGGATGCAATACTGTAGTGAAATGCTGAGAATTCCATTCTGTATCACAAGTACTGTTTTGCAATAAAGCAAATTATCATTATTATTATAACAAAATTTATATATGAAGGATGCATACACTTTGTTCCAACAAAGCAATGAACACAAAATTTGTGCTGAGTAAATTTGGTTACTGAGTTATGACACTTTACTGAAATAGAGTAATACTCAACTCCAAGTCAATCTTTAACTGATGAATGACTACGAGAATGTGAACTTTCCCGTCACAAAATTTCTTATCTTCACATATCTTTCTTGTTTTTTACAGTTTCCGTACATACTACTTTTTGATACTAAGTAGTATTACTCATATTGAAGCTTACTGTAGCTAAACTTGGATTAAAATTTCTTCGCCTTTAGCAAAAGTGCGTCTTATCCTTTTCTTTTCTTTGGTATTCTGTTAGCACAACCGAATTTCCCATTTATACTATAATGGCTTATTATTGGTGATATCTCTTTTATTAATACATGCCTCCAACTGTTTCATTTCACATACTGGTGGTTATTTCATGATGAACTGAAGTCTTACAATCTCTTCTTTAATGCCTATTGTTTTGTACTAGACACTCACCTGACGCTTTTTACAGCTTCAAATGACCGGTCAATTTTATCTTCCCACGCTGTATGAATCTACTGCAACTAATAATCATTATCGTCGTTTCACATTTCATAATATTTTGTATTTGCATTCAGCCCAGTACGTTTTTCACACGACTATTACTTATTTTGTCCCCCTATAATTAATCTGTTATTCTACGTAAAAATTTATCCCCCGCATAACTGGCTATTATTATAACAATGAATATTATATTTGATAATTGTAAGTATGACGATAGGAATTTACTGAAATGAATATTCTTCGTTTAATAATTTTCAAGTGTTAATTTGTAGGGATCTCATTGACTTAAAGTTCGATCATGAATTGATATGAATTAGAGAACCGTCAGAGACCAAGAAGTACTGGACAGCTGTTTAGTATTAGTTTGAGGCTCTTCACCAGTTTCAGTCCACGATAGGGTCCATGCTGACAAAGAATCCCAGACTAGGACGAAACAGCCGTTCAGAGCTCCATGACTTTAGCTTCATAGACTCTCCACCGGGTGATATCAATCCGTGAGTAAACTTAAGTAATGTTATTGAAAGGCTGTTAAAACGCAAGACGAAATGACTATATCACGAAACCGAAGAGAAAGATGACTTGCAGTCAAAAATGTTTCATGATTAGACAACCGTGAAGGGAAAAAACTGTATACAGATGATTTCGAAACTCTATATTTTTTGTCTAACTCATTTATATATAAAAAACAAAAAAATAACAAATATAACAAAACTCAACATGAAAAAAAGAATAAAGGCAACAAGTACATGTTATTCTCCTCTGTAAATGCCAATTGAACAAAACAAAAAATATTTCAAAAACAAACAGACAAAATGCAATAGAGAAAAGCTTAGGCATTCATAGGAAGAGAGGAAAGGAATGTGTAGTCGTGAGTTTCTCACTGTTATTCTCTTGACTTTATTGATTTCCATTTAAGCGTCCTCCTCTTCCAAATGATGCTGAATCTAGAGATTGATTCTCACTGAATTGTGCATCTACAGCTAATTGTAACGCACGAATAAAACATTGTAGTGTAACGTTGTTCGATTGAACAGAATCCGACGCTGATGATGTGGACAATAAAGGCGGTGATAGTGTAGCTGAATTATTTGCTCCATTATTCATTATCATACTTGACGTACTAACATTAGAACAGGATAAACTATTATTTAAAATAGATGATTCTTGCCGACTATTCTGGGGTAAGTGAACTTGACGACGATTGTGCAGGCTAGAATTGTATTGCATATCAGGCATTACTTTATTCAGATGGAATGCATAAGCTAATAATGGTAGCTTCCGCAATGTACGACCATTTAAACCAGAACTACGTTCAGATAAACGCCATAGTGAAATACTCAATGAATTAGCCTAAAATAAAAAAATAGATTAAATAATGATATTTATTTATTCGAAATACTTAGTCATAATACAAGAAACAATGCTGAGAATTTCATGTGTATGTATCTACAGGCATCTGATCGGTGATAGGTTTGGAAAGCAGCTTCACGGACCAATCAGCAACTGGTTTAGAGAGATGTCACATAACCAATGATCCAATAGCATATTAATTTATGTTGTCAGACCTCCTTAAAATACAGAAAGACATCTAAACCGATGGTAAACATGAAATCACTGGTTGAGATGTTCAGATGATATGCATTGATTGTGTGCTATATGAGCTAAGGTATTCAGTTTGAAGATCCCACGTCAAATAAAGAGACGGTTTTCCTTTTATTATAATAAAGATTGGATAAAGAATTATCTTTGATACAGTAGCTATTCCAAACAGAATGTTCAACAGCGCTCCGAACCTGATTCATCTAATCAACGCTTCAGTACAACAAAAGATCATGTTCTTTGACTTCTTAGAAAAGAATGTACACCAAAAGATATAAGCACCAGCTTTGGTTGATAAAAATGAAGATTACTTGAAGATCTTTACAATCACGAGATCAAGTTAAATTTCACCGAGAATTAGTATGAGTTGGTGAAACCGTTGCCCATGCTGGAATAGCTGGAATAGGATTGGTTGGAATGCCATTACTTAAGCCAATGAGCCATATCTTCACAATTCAGTATTTAATGGAAGACCATGCGACTCAGGCTTCTCCATCGAAATGGATAAGGTAGTTTTAAAAATAAAATAACTTAACTGGTCTATGTGAATTCTGATCAAGATTTGATCAGATAGTTCCAGAAACATTGGGAGCCGAATGGAAAGCAGACATATGTAGAAACTGTATACTTGTTTAAATTTCAGAGAAATAGAAATAAATAATTCCAACGTTTCGTCAAGGAAACTGTTCCTAACTTCTTCAAGAATTCAGATACGACTGGATAACTATTCTAGTGACAAGATGTGTCCTTTTATACACACCTTTAGTATTTTAATTTGATCATTTTTCTGTAGAAGTTCAGACCAACTTGCCAAAAGAAACATTGACATTGATATGTATCATCGAAATACTCGTAAAATAAGTTGAGAATTGAACTGTTCATCGTACAATTCTAACGAATCAGTAGCTATAGTAGAAAGTCTGTAAACTCAACCAAATGAATATGCCTTTTTCCCTACTGTGATCATGAGATCATTTCCAGTTAGTCAGCTATTGACTAATCTTTATGACCAGCTTTGACTTACAGTTATAACTGATTCTATCTAATAAATGCAAAGAGTATAATCATAAGACTGCCCATTTGGAGGGACGTGAAATTACAGGCTAAAGTACATGAAGAGTAAATTGCTTAAAACGAAGTAGTCTATCTGTCTGTTTTTGACATAAAACTTTGCACTGTGATGTGCAGCAGTTCAGGTCGCCACACTGATTCCTTGTAGCATACAAAGCAAGAGAAGAAATGCACAATAGAGACAGTAGACAGGGAAAAGAGACAAAAAGAATGGTAATAACAAAGAACAATATAGTTTCATTGGAAATCATAAGTCACAAGGAGTGGATGCATCCGCACCAGCCATTGAGAACCATTTTGAGCCACATCACTGATTGTCTCCAGCCATTGATTTTTACCGTCCCGAGGACCCCAAACGGTCAGGAAGTCCACACCTTCCCACGTGGCTGGCTTAAACTAACTGTGGTGGGTTTCATCGACTGGTGCCATGTCAGCTAACGTTGCCCGTCAGTCGAGGAAGTGAATCGATGGTTAGGCATGCATTCGTAACACATGTCCTAACCATCTCAGTCTATGTACCTTCACAACTTCGTCGATTGATTTCCTCTCCTTACCTAGCACTCAACCGAAGCCTAACCTCAATATTCCTCACCCTATTATATGACCTAACACACACGGGAGATAGAACTCAGGCACCTATCATCAAAGACAACTAGCCGGCCTTTTCATGTCTTCCGCTCTCAATGGCCAGGTCTCACAGACAACCATAAAGGAGAACGGAGTGGACTACTGAGCAGTACACCCACCCTTTAGTCGATAACCGGATATCACGTCTACGCCAGAGACGGCGTAAACTGGAATATGCGAACGGAGCCTTCTGTATCCGTGCTGAGATTTCGTCAGAGGTCAACCTGTTGGGACTGATGGTACTTGTCAAATAAGTGAAGTGGTCAACACGCCCAGCCACCACTTCACTTCCTATTTCTAAACTAGGAGTCAGTGTAGACCAGTCCAGCCATGTAGCATCATCTTATATTTGACGGGAACGAATCGCTCACAAGACAAACATTCGTAGATTGCAACTCAAGGTGTTCAGAAGACTCTGCATTTTTTCAGAATCTTCACCTAGAAGGACTACATCGTCTGCATATTCTAAGTCAACGAGATTATTCCCTAGTAGAAAGTCAATCCCTGTGTCTCTGAAGTGAGTTGGGTTTAAGTCCATTAGTACATCTATGATGAAATGGAATAGAAATGGGGATAGTATGCAACCCTGACGGACACCAGTAGTTATGACCACGTCAGATGACAACTTGCCGTAGACTATCTCCTGACAGACTCCATTAGTTCGAGTAAAGTGTCTTGATCAGTACAATGCATTTTCTCGGGATTCCCTTTACAGACAAGCATTGCCAGAGTACCCCTCAGTCTACAGAATCGAATGACGCCTTTAGGTCAAGAAATATAACGATTGTTGGACGCCGGTAAGAATGACTATGTTCCCGAATCTTTCGAAGGGTGAAGATATGATAGATACACCCTATTCCTGGTCTGAAGCCTGCCTGGTTCTCTAGAGTTTGTTCCTCCCGAGCACCACTTATTCTACGCATGATCATTGAGCCCAGGACTCTAGAAACCATGTTAGTCAAGCTAATCTCATAAAAACTCGTCTCCCTTCTTGTAAAAAAAGGTAATCGATGACTTACACCAACCCAACGGGATTTTCTCCGATTCCCAAACGCTGCCTAGTACCTCAGTTAACGCAGACAGTAAACTGTCTCTACCATACTTAAATACCTCTAAAGTCAATCTATCAGGTCCTGCTGCTTTGGTTCGTTTCAGACTAGTGACAGCCTATGTAACCTCAGTAGGGGACGCAGGACCTGTGTCTACATCCCATTCATAGAAGTGTTGGATGTTCGGCAGGTTGAGTGTGGCTGTAGGAAAAGTAGACGAGAATATTGATTTTAATTCAAAATACAGTGTCTGTCTGTCTGTCTCTATCTGGATTCAACATAGAACTTGTCACCGAAGTGCAGCAGTTCGAGTTGCCACGTTCCAAATAGCACACAAAGGTAGACAAGAAGATGAGTGGACAGAATCAATAGAGTTTGACAAGTATAAGAGTGAGACAGAATGGGTAATGGTAGAAAGGAATACGAAAGATTACAGAGACTGAATACATCTGCGCCATTGACAACGATTTGGAGCCATGTCACCTATTGTCTACAGCCATTGATTCCTAGAGTCCCGAGGGCCCCAACCCGGGAGTCTGCATCTCCCTACCTGACCGACTCAGTTTAACTGTCAAGGATTTCATGGATTGATGAGGTCATGTTTTTGTTTGGCCACCACTTACTCTTTTCCAACCTGAACCTATATCAGCTAGTAATGCCCGTCGGGGGAGGCGATGGTTAGGCATGCGCACCACGTGACCTAGCCATCTCAATCTATGTAACTTTATAGCCTCGTCGATTGATTTTCCCTCTTTGCCCAACACTCTACGCCTAACGTCAACATTACTTACCTTATTAAACCACCTAACGTGAGACAGAGATCGCAGACATCTATGATCGAAAGCAGTCAACCTTTTCATGTCTTCAACGCGTATTGGCCATGTTTCAGAGCCATAGAGAAGGACGGAGCGAACTGCTGAGCAGTACACACGTCCCTTGGTTGATAGCCGGATGTCACGCCTACGCCAGAGATGGTGTAAGTCAGCGAAAGCAGCTCGAGCACTTTGGATCCGTGCTGAGATTTCGTCGCCAATCAGTCCGTTGGTGCTGATACAACTTCCCAAATAGGTGAAGTGGTCAACACACCCCTACCACTTCACTCCTTATTTCTAAGCTAGTAGTCAATGTAGTCCAGTCATGTAATAGCATCTTACATTTGACGGGAGCGAATCGCATGCCAAACATACGAAGATTGCTGCTCAAGGTGTTCAGAAGACTCTGCATTTTGTCAGCATCCTCCCCTAACAGGACTATGTCATCTGCATATTCTAAGTCCATAAGACTATTCCCTGGTAACAAGTCGATTCCTAAGTCATTACGTTCAGTTAAGGATACTTCCATTAGCATATCTATGATGAAGTTAAACAGAAATGGGGAAAGTGGACATCCCTGTCGGACACCACTGGTTGTTACCAATTCAGATGACAATTCCCCATAAGCCCTTACACGACTACGTGAGTTTGAATAGAGTGCCTTGATTAGTGCAATGTACTTTCTTGGCACTCCCTTCACAGTCAGACATTGCCATAGTACCTTTCGATCCACGGAGTCGAAGGCCGCCTTCAAGTCAAGAAATATGACAATTGTTGGACGCCGAAAAGTGTGTCTATGTTCTAGAATCTGTCGAAGAGTGAAGATATGATCTATGCACCCTCTACCTGGTCTAAAGCCTGCTTGATTTTCCCTTGTCTGTTCCTCCCGAGTTCTGCTTAGTCTATGCATGATTACTGAGCCTAGGATTTTAGAGACTATGTTCGTTAGGCTGATCCCCCTATGATTATCACACGAGGACTTGTTTCCCTTCTTGAATATCGGTATAATAAGTGACTTACCCCAGTCTGATGGTACTGTCTCTGATTCCCAGACTTTGCCTAGTACCTCAGTTAATCTACAAACTAGTATGTCACCCCCATATTTAAACACCTCCGGAATAATTCCGTCGGGTCCTGCCGCTTTGCCTCGTTTCAAATTACTGATAGCTTTTGTAACCTCACCTACAGACGGCGGACCAGTGTCTATATCCCATTCGGGTGTGTGTGGATGGCGGGGAGGTTCAGTGTGGCTGTAGGCAAGTTAAATTGTTCCTCAAAGTGTTCTTTCCAGCGTTCAAGGCGTCTATCCTGAGAGCTAATTAAGGAGCCATTTTTCTCAGAAATAGTCTCACTTATGAATTGCCTTCTCCCACCCGATTCCTGATGAGTCTAAAGAGTTGCCTAGTGTTGCCTATCGCCGATGCTTTTTCCATCTCTTTCGCCTTTGTCACCCACCACTGTTCACGGTCCTTGCGGAGACTTTTAGTAAGTTTCCTTTTGTGCAGCTTTCGCTCCTCATTGAATTCGGAGCTCGCCGGAATAAGTCTTCTAGCATCTATCAGTTCGGATGAGGCAGTCGAAATCCAGTGGTTTTTACTCACCTTTGGATTTGCCTTATTCACAGCTTTTACAGCTGTATCTATAGCTGACTGAATATTCTTCCAGGCTTCTCCAGGGTGAGCACAGCTGTCGAATTCAGATATGCGTTTAGCTAGTTCTTCCTCAAATAGGGATTTAGTTTCCTGATCGAGCTGGGGACGTGATGGTTTTACCGCCAGCTGTTTCCTACGTCCGTTCAGTCGTAAGCACACACGAGCCCGGACCAGTGCGTGATCGGTATCTACACACGTGTTCCAGAAGGAGCGACAATCTCCTACCGACCCACGCCAACGATAGCTTATTGCTATGTGGTCTATTTGTGTCCAGCGTTGGTTTGATGATGGGGGTCGCCAGGTTAAACAGTGTCTCTCCTTGTGTTTAAAGTTAGTGCTTACAAGAAACAAATGATTATCTGAACAGAACTGTAGGAGACGGTCACCGTTGTCGGTTCGCTGGCACGGAACTCCATAGGTGCCACCGACATCCTTCTCAGATTGACACAATTTCCCTACTTGAGCGTTAAAGTCACCAGCTAGAACGACTATATCTGAGCGTTTAGCCTTTCTCACCAAACTAGACAGCTTTTGGTAGAACTCATCCTTCGTTTCATCCGAACTGCAGTCAGTGGGGGCGTAGGCGGAGATTACGAAAAGGCATCGGCGAGTAGTGCAGTCCTTTCTCCTTCTTACTGATCCGTTCAGACGGACAGCACACATTCGGCTATCTACCGGGATCCAGTCAAGCAATGTCTTTTCTGCCCTAGTACTCAAGCTATCCCTACGCCAGCTAATCCCGTGAACTAGCTGTGGCATCTCCTGACACCCTCAAGGTGAATTTTGAAGATTCATCCTGTTGGCCAGGTGGGGTTAGGTGAATAACCACACTTGGGTCTTGTATGCGTGTTTCTGAAACACAACATACATCAATGGCTCGAGATGCCAGGGTCTTAGCTAGTGATGCTTGTTGTCCTATTTGGCAAAGTGTCCTAACATTAAATGCTCCTATATGAAATTGGTGGCGTGGCTTTAGGAGACTATCGGTGGTTTTTTGGCTTTCGTCGTTTTTAGTGGACACAGAGTGAAGAGGGAGTGAGGAGCCATCAAGTAGAGGAGTTGCATCAGTGGGAGGAAGGCAAGGTAATAGAGATGAAGATGAAGACAAAGATAAGTGAGGATTAGAGAGGTTTTGTGTGCATTTCGGATTGTGAGGGCGATTGTTACTTCCCGGCTGCCCACACCGTGGAAGTTGGTTGCGTGACCGCAGAGCCCAGGGGACAACTGCTTGAGGCCGGTCACACGCGGCCTGTTTTTGTTTGTTCTCTTTTGTTTGGTGTGCCTCAGTAGCATACTTATCACTCCTGCCCTGTGACACGGCAGCAGGAAGCGCGGTCGTTGTTAATCCGGGCCACGGCCGATCCGGCATGAAATTTTGTGAATTTGTTTGAATCATGGTATTGGATGGGGTAGCTGCTTTTTGTTTAACCGCTATCCAAACAACCTGCCTGGCATGGTAGAACCTCAAGAGACATAAGTCTCAGCCAGTATAGCTTGATTAGGTCATTGCGGTGTTCAAGCCCGACCACCACGTCAAGGTAGCAGCTTTCGGTCGGGACTTAATGAAAAAGCAACGCGAGAAAGCTCACTTACTTGGCAATTTGTGAAATGGCGTGACATTACTTTAATAAACGTTGTTTAAAGTTAGTGATACGGTATTAGTACACTACATTCAATAAAATAACAGCATAAAACAGCTTCCTTGGCCAAAAAAAGAACAAAAAAAATTAGAAATTATTTAGTCAGACATCAAACATTTCCGGGGAAAGAAAGTCTGCTTGAATATATATATGTATATATATACGTCCCTCTGGTTGTTAGCATTTTCATTTCTTATATAGTTTTTTAATGCATTTTCTAAAAGACAACATTCTTATATTCACCTATTCATGTTTATTATTACTACTACTATTACTAGTATTACTCTATTACGTTTTTAATAAATAAGCGAAATATTCAACTGATAATAAACACTACAACGTACATGCTCTTCTGAAAATTGTACTGATGATAAAGTTCGATAACTTAATAAACAACTGTCCTCTGTTGAACTGATCAATCCAACTCTCATTAATTCTAGTAAACAAGAACGATAAATTGAATAGATAGCTGGTGATGAAGGTGTATCAATAAAAATGCGTAAATCAGCTCTGTCTAAAAATGCTGGATCTATAAGACTGGTTATATTGGATGTGGCCAGTATCAAAATATTAGGGAATCGTTTAACCTGAAAGTTTTGAAAAAAAATAATAATAATAATAATAAAGAATCAGATGAGTACTTATGAATTTATAGTAAACAAATGACACCATAAGAACTGACCACTGTGCTAGTGTGTACATGCACGGGAGCGAATATATTAGTCATTATATGTTCGCTTTATAAATAATGGCTGAAAGTTTAAAAAGGGGAAAACATGTCCATCCTGAAACTGATAAGTAATTCATTCGACGTTGAAGTCAAAGATGTCATCTTCACTACGAAGCAAATAAATGAAGCTTGGGGTTTTTAGAAACGTAAAAGCTGTCCAAAATTTAAAAAAAAATATTAATATTCCCTTAGATTCCGAGTGGAATATAGGACTTCAGCAACACATCTCCACTTAGTTATGTTGTCTGCTGTTCTCTTCATCTGGGTCCACCATTACCCGTAATCTTTCATCTCTTCCATGTCACCCCTCGGATCTACGCCCAACTTGTTATTTCCCATTTAGGTCTCATTCGACGATCTTCTCAGTGAGTGTCCTGTCCATCTGCATATTCACCTACATATTTGTTGAACGATAGGTTCTTGGTTAATTTCCTCCTTTTTGTTGCTGATTGATTCTCTCTGGTCATTCGATCTTTAATATAGACAAAATGAGACGGAAACCCCATAAATAAGAGTAAAAGAGGAACTTTTTTTAAGCATCTCTTTATTCGCCTGATACTTCCCAGTCATCAATTCCCAGCCGATAACTGCTACCTTGTCGTGGTGGTCAGGATTGAATACCGTAATGACCCAACAAGCTAAACTGACTGGCACTCTGTCCCTGCAGGTCCTACCATGTCAGGAAGGTTGTTTGGATAGCGGTTAAACTAAAAGCAGTTACCATGGAGTACATGGGCTCCAGTATCCAATAGGATCAAATGGCGTATGAAGCCATATAGGTCAGCGGGAACCATGAGAATGCGGCTCCTGACGCTGCCTTGCGGATTAGACTCCAAGTCAAGGGCTCGGGGGTGGTCCCTTAATAAAACCACCTGCTTCGGTCTGGGCGCCCGGGCAGTATCTCAGCCCTCACACAATGAATTGAATGAAGCAACAAACAATCAATGAAACTTATCGCGTGCTATTACACATGTTGCAGTTTTCTTCTTTCTTCTCTTCCCGATGATAGTTAACGAATACTGTTTGAACTTGTTAAGCATGACTGTTTTCCTTCCAGATGAAGTTCTTTATCCGTTCTCTACTTATATATATATATATATCTTCTTTCTTTTTTTCCTTTGATCTATGTTGTTTTATTATTGTGTGGCGCATCCTTCTTGGTGCTATATTGTACCAAGTTTTTATGCGTTTAAATAAATTAAATAAATAAATAAACATCAATTATTCTGATACTTTTTTCACATTTCAATATATAAAACATGCTAAAGTTTGACTGCAAAATAGATTAAACACAATCCTATTAAGAAGTTCAACAAAGATTAATGTGTAAATCAAAAATTCACCTGGTCAATTTGAGTTAAAACAGAATTCACAACGCGTATAGCATCACTTGGTTCACAGCCTGCTGATGAAGCACTTCTTGTAGCAGTTAAACTTTCAACTTCATCTACTACTAAAACTACTAAATGTTTCGGTGATTGTAGATATTCTTTAATAGAATCAAACATTTTTGAAACAAGATGTGCACTTTCTGAAAACCATTTTGACATTAAATTCATAGCATTAATTTCAATTAATTGTGCTGATGAATAGTTATTAGACATTCGTATAGCTAATTTATTAGCTAATGCTCGACACAGGGAAGTTTTCCCGGTTCCTGGAGGACCATATAAAAAAATAACTCGATTCCACGAAATCACAGATGATGACACCTGGAGGATAATGAGATAACATGAAATGGATCAATTCTGGGATTTTAAGATTAAACAAATTAATGAAGTATCCCATAAACAATAAATTAGAGAATATAAAACATCCGAACTCAATAAAACAGGGGTCCAGGTTTGCTTGACTAAGCGCCTATGATTTTTAACTGAGATCTCGGAGTTAATAATACTGCTACCAGTAAGTCCATCTATCCCGGAGTGAAATAAGTTCGAATAGTCCAATATTTCAAAATAAGATAGACGGTCACAGGATTGGGACTACAACTATTATATCGATATTCAAGAAGGGAAACAAGTCCTCATGTGGTAATCATAGGGGGATCAGTCTAACGAACATAGTCTCTAAAATCCTAGGCTCAGTAATCATGCACAGACTAAGCAGAACTCGGGAGGAACAGACGAGGGAAAATCAAGCTGGCTTAAAACTAGGTAGAGGGTGCATAGATCATATCTTCACTCTCCGACAGATCCTAGAACATAGACACAATATTCGGCGTCCAACAATTGCCATATTTCTTGACTTGAAGGCGGCCTTCGACTCCATGGATCGAAAGGAACTATGGCAATGTTTGATTGTGAAGGGAGTGCCAAGAAAGTACATTGCACTAATCAAGGCACTCTATTTAAACTCACGTAGTCGTGTAAGGGCTTATGGGGAAGTGTCATCTGAATTGGTAACAACCAGTGGTGTCCGACAGGGATGTCCACTTTCCCCATTTCTGTTTAACGTCATCATAGATATCCTAATGGAAGTACCCTTAACTGAACTTAACGACTTAGGAATCGACTTGTTACCAGGGTATAGTCTTATGGACTTTGAATATGCAGATGACATAGTCCTGTTAGGGGAGGACGCTGACAAAATGCAGAGTCTTCTGAACACCTTGATCTGCAATCTACGAATGTTTGGCATGCGATTCGCTCCCGTCAAATGTAAGATGATATTACATGACTGGACTACATTGACTACTAGCTTAGAAATAAGGAGTGAAGTGGTAGCTGGGTGTGTTGGCCACTTCACCTATTTGGGAAGTTGTATCAGCACCAACGGACTGATTGGCGACGAAATCTCAGCACGGATCCAAAGTGCTCGAGCTGCTTTCGCTGACTTACACCATCTCTGGCGTATGCGTGACATCCGGCCGGCTATCAACCAAGGGACGTGTGTACTGCTCAGCAGTTCGCTCCGTCCTTCTCTATGGCTCTGAAACATGGCCAATACTCGTTGAAGACATGAAAAGGTTGACTGCTTTCGATCATAGATGTCTGCGATCTCTGTCTCACGTTAGGTGGTTTAATAAGGTAAGTAATGTTGACGTTAGGCGTAGAGTGTTGGGCAAACAGGGAAAATCAATCGACGAGGCTATAAAGTTACATAGATTGAGATGGCTAGGTCACGTGGTGCGCATGCCTAACCATCGCCTCCCCCGACGGGCATTACTAGCTGATATAGGTGCAGGTTGGAAAAGAGTAAGTGGTGGCCAAACAAAAACATGACCTCATCAATCCATGAAATCCTTGACAGTTAAACTGAGTCGGTCAGGTAGGGAGATGCAGACTCCCGGGTTGGGGCCCTCGGGACTCTAGGAATCAATGGCTGTAGACAATAGGTGACATGGCTCCAAATCGTTGTCAATGGCGCAGATGTATTCAGTCTCTGTAATCTTTCATGTTCCTATTTACCATTACCCATTCTGTCTCACTCTTATACTTGTCAAACTCTATTGATTCTCTTCACTCATCTTCTTGTCTACCTTTGTGTGCTATTTGGAACGTGGTAACTCGAACTGCTGCACTTCGGTGACAAGTTCTATGTTGAATCCAGCCAGACAGACAGACAACAATTCCATAAATTGTTAACTATAACACATGAGATCTTTCGAGATTTAATGCTTTTTTACCCTTCTAAATATTTTTGGAATAATAACTTTCAGAAACTCCTCTTTTAAGATTAGACTTAAATGGTGAATCCAAATTCAAAAGTCTATGGTTATTTCTATACAAATAAATAGTATTTACCTCTTCAAAGTATTTGAGTCAGTTTCTATACGTAAAAGTATATAGCTCAAAGAATTGATGAGGAGTAAACAATATACAGATTTCTAAAGCAAACTGTCTTGAGTCTTTATATCACATAATTATTAGTCATGCTTAGCAGATAAATGCATCTAGTAAATATATCTGAGTATAATTCAACTAATGATATAAAAAAAGTACTCATAATGAAAGTTGGTTAGTTGAAATCTTTCATCGTCATTATTATTATTATTTTGAATGATATCAAATTTGAGTGAGTTCTAGACAGTCAAATGGGAAGAAATCAATAGCAAGAGAAGTGAGATAAAAAATGAGCTACACTATTAAGCGTCAGCTATGTATTTACATTAGACAGATCGGTCGAAATAAAACTACTGAATAAGAACGATACAAAAAGGAGAAATACAAGACGTCAGGGTTGTGTTTTGAGTGTAATATAAGGCTTCACGTTTTAGTAGCGGTCTTGTTTTTACAGCGTGAAGTTGCTAACTTTATGCTTAATCTCCCGTCTTCTCTGAACTTACTACCTATTAGTAAACTAGACAAGATTTAGGAGTATATCGATCAGAAATCAAACCTAGACCTCCTGTGTGGACAAATACCACGAGACGTTTATGATAATTCCTAACAATATAATTCAGTTGTAAAAAGATCTCACCTCTCGATCGGCGAACAGCAGAGCAGTTTGAGCATATTGTAAGAGATTTAATTTTACATCCGAATCGAAAACAAGTGACTCCCAAAGGCCACACATTTCCAATGAAGGAAGTAACCATGTAGTTCCACCATTGATAGACTCTGAACCGGATTCAATAATTTCTTGAACTGGTAGAGCTTCTTCACCACTAACTAACTGATAGACATGTATTACAATTACAGCAACAGAAAGATTGATTGATCGGCCAGCATCATTTTCATGAAGTCCATCAGCTTCATCAAGCACTAACTAGATAAGAAAAAAAGTATCGTGAATAGATCACAGAACTTCTTTATAGAAACATTGAGTTCTAAAGTGAATGAAAGAAATCTCTTTATATAAGTAAGATGTTGACACTTAACTTTACGTGAAATAACACAACCTTAAACTAGAGAATAAGTGATTCCATATTAGTTTGTTTATTAGATGTATTACACAGTGAAACAGTATTATTTACTGGATGACGTTTCGAACAAAATTTATTTATTTGAACACATTAACTCAAAGCTGGAGGCAATTTAATTCACTTATGAATTGGAAAGTCAAGAAGGGGAACTTCCAATGTTAGATTGCAGCGTAAAATGGAAAGAAGATAGGGAGTTAAACACACTGGTGTTCACAGGAAACCCACGCATTCAAACTGATATTTGAACTTCCGATAATCTCATCCTATGTCAGTGAAGATAGGATTGGTGAAATGTTTAAATAATAGAGCACAAAAACTAGATAGTACCAAGGAAAATGTAAGACAGGAAGTGAGACACATAAGAGAGGCTTTGAAACTTAATAATTACCCCTAAAAATTAGTCAGAAAGTATGTAGGGGAATGTAAAAATAAAATAATTAGTGATAGAGATAACAATAATAATAGTAGTATTAATGACGACGTGCATGTCAAACATGCCCAAGATAATAACAATAAGGAAACTAAATTATCAGTAGTAATTCCATACAAGGAAGGAACCTCGGAAACCTTATGCGGAATTCTTAACAAGGCAGGAACAAAAGTGGCTGGTATTCAAACCCACAAACTCACTGAGAAACAAGCTTTGTCGGTTAAAGGATCAATCCCGTGAAGCCTTTGAAACAAAACAATTTAGTTTATCTAATACCATGCCTGCGATGATTTTCAGGTCAAATACATAGGCCAAACTAGTAGAATAGGTGCAGTCAGACTAATGGAGCATCAAAATCTAGATTGGTTGACCCGAATAAGATAAGAAATCTAGAGAATACTTCAGCTATACCACTCACTACATGCAATCCCACACAACCATACAATAGGATGGAATAAGATGACAGTTTTAAAATCTAATGTGACAGGGTGGAGGGAGAGATCGATAACAGAAGCTTTGTTTGTCGAATCAACTGCAAATACGTGTAATAGGAATGATTCAACTCCTGTCCCAGATATCTGGAGAGTTCCACTCCCCCTACGACAAATAGGAGAAAACAAAGAAAACTACGAAACTGAAGTTTCGAAGTCGTGTGATTATAATTGGTGAAATGATTATGAACAATAAATTTTGTTAGAAACGTTATCCAGTAAATAATACTGTTTAGCTGTGTGATATATCTAGTAAACAAACGAGTATGGAATTACTTACTACCACAGTGTCCAAGTTTTACATGTATATTAATAGAGCATAAGTAGAAAGAATTTTCTGACCTCAACAATTCCTACACACTTGAAAAACTTTTATATTAGACATAAGACTTCAAGTATAAGACGTAATTGGTTTTTTCGATCAGCATTCAACACAATTAACTGACTTATAAATCATTTCTTTTATATTTTTGGGCTAAATGAATACGGGTGCCTGAGTTGCCAATTACGACAGAAACCTTTGTAAAAACACTACTAAATAACTTGCAGCCAATGCAAACTAATTTTCACCCATAAGATTATTTATGAAATAAATCTTGGCAGTGTTCAACTGTAATAATAATTGTGTTTTTTTTTCCTAACAGGGTTTCACTATACACAATTTTTTCTTAAAAACACTGAAATTAAAATCTTGAGTATTTATCAGAATCTTAATGTTCCGTAGAATAATCTAATAATATGTGCACATATGTAGTGTGCAAGTTGGTTGTTAGCTTATAAAAGAGTCAACCGATAAATAGTAAAAACTTTGTAGAACATTAAGCATTATGTAGGTAAATAAATCTGATTGAATAAAAATGTAGGAAAAATTTGAACAGGGCTACACAAACCAGTTATGATTCCGAAACTGAAAGACTAAATACCTAGGCTAGTCTTCTCTTTTTGTATCTATCAATTTAACTAAGCTTGTGGAGCCAGTTATATTGGCCGTTGATCCAGGAACTTAATTTTTCCTACCCGGGAACATCTACTACTTTGACCAAATAAAGTTACAGTAAAAACCACCAACAGTTCGACATTTGACCATCTTGTCCAAAAACAGGCCATTGAAGAATCTTTTTCTTTGGTCTTTCAGGCACCAAATAAATTGCCAAATACTCCAAACTGCAGAAGCCATTGCAATGAGTTAAAAACAACCGGAAATTTACGTACAAAAGAAACAGGTTCAAACATCATTGCCACTATATTTTGCTGTGAAGCCTATTTATTCATAAATTCTGTATTATTTTCCTTAATTTATCTGATACTAACTTTACTGCTACATTGGTGAATATATCATGACTTATAAATGCTTTTAGAGTGTAATCTACTGATGTTATTATTGATTCAGAGTTATTTATAACAATGTTGTTAATAATTCCTTAATTATTATGGATATGTAAGTGTAGTGTTGGATGAAGCCGCCGACAATTATACATCTCATCCAACAGTTGTACGATAATGCTGCCAAGTAATCCACAACGGGTAACTTACGGAATCCTTCGAAGTGAGAACGGGAGTAAGACAAAGCTGCCTACTGTCGCCAATGATTTTCCTGATTGCAGTAGATTGGATAATGCGACAAACAGCAAGCAATGAGGAAACAAGCAGAAGATGGACTCACACAAAAAGAGACTTGGAGGATCTGGACTTCGCCGATGATATATGTCTGATTTCCCACAAACTGGAAGATATGCAAGTGAAAAGCAACAAGTTGGCAGAAGAAGCATCCAGAGAAGATAGAACTTCAGGTGAACATAGAGAAAACAGAGGTGATGAAGATTCCTGGCTAAAAACAACAGCAACTACAAAGGACAACAATCAGCATAAACGGGAGGAACCTGGAAGAAACAATTCCCTTTACTCACCTGGGAAGTATCGTTTCAACTACAGGTGGACGGAACTGATGAGGATATCAAAGCCAGAATCGGAAAAGCAAGACAAGCTTTCATTACTCTCAAGTCTGTGTGGAGGTCAACAGCACTCAGCATCAAAATGAAAGTAAGATCCGGATTTTCAACTCCAATGTGAAATCAGTCAGTGCTACTATACGATTGGATCAGAGACTTGGCGGGTCATAAAGAGCACCTCAAACAAACTACAGACCTTCATTAACAACTGTCTTCACTCAATACTCAAGATCAGATGGCCGGCCAGAAAAGTTCAGCAACACGGATCTCTGGCAATGAGCGAACCAACCAGGAACCGATTGTGAAACAAATAAGCAGGAAGAAATGGAGATGGATTGGCCATACTGTGAAGAAACCATCAAGTGACATCACTAGACAAGCCATTGCTCGAGTGGAACCCAAAGGGGAAGCGGCGAGTTGGTCGTCAGTGCAAGGGTGACTTGGAGGAGGTCATCTGAAGAGGAGATGAAAGCATGTGGGCAGACTTGGAACCAGGTGAAAACGCTGGCACAGAACCGAACGCAATGGAGACGCTCAACTGAAGACCTATGTTCCGCTAGGAATTACAGGAAATAATAATAACTGGATGAAGAAGTTATCGAAAAAACTTTTTATTCACTAATCAGTCCTTATGAAGTACTATTTCAATAACGAGATGCTCAAAATCAAGTCAATTCAAATGATAGGTGTAACTTGGTTGACTGATATAAGCTTTACCAGCCAAAAACTGTATGTAAATTTATGATACAATGTATATGGAAAAGTACTTAAATTTAAAAGATATTTAGTGGCTAAAATAGTAATCTACATCACCTAAATCTATTTCAAAAATCTCTTATAAGCAATACAAGTTAGCAAAAAACTCAGCTTTGCAGTATAACTGTACTTACATTAATGGAAAGCACACAGTTAGTAAGAATTTCCCGAACTTTCATCATATTCCCCGTCAATGACATAAAATTCAAATCACTATAAGGACTTTCCAAAACAGTTGGCACGTGTCTTGGACCAAGATGACGTAAAAATTCAACAACACAGGACTCAATGATAGAAAATTCTTCACAATTATATGGAGATACACAAACTTCAGCATGAACTGGTCGTAGTGAAGAATTGGGTGCTGCTAAATCTGGATGGTGATATGTAGGACTTGATGAACTTAAGTCAAAATGACGTGAGGAATTGAAATCAGCCTGTCTATCATTCACTGAATGATTTTTTTGATTATAAGATATTTCAAGTGTATCAGAATTATTGAAATTATCAAGTATTTGCAAAAGTGGTGTATTGATTTCCATTGTTGGGAACGAAAATTCTACAAAATAATAATAATAAGTGAGAAAGAAGTGTAGATAAAGTAATTTTCAAAATCAGATAGTAACTATCATCATGAAACTGTTATTTGAAAGTTGTCAAAAATGTAACTGTACATCTTTACTTTATTTAATCGAGTGAATATTTTTGCTCAACAATTAAGAGTAGCCCTTTTACTAGACTGTCAAAATGGTAATTTGAATAATGTAAGAAGTCAACTTTCAAACTTTCGCAAGCCACTAGTTAGTATCTATGTAGCATTTGTGTACGCTTCAAAATGAACATGATTAGCAAATTATACTCAAACGTACAAAATGTTAGCCAATTGTAGACTAGCGCCCACTTTTTGCTAAGGGTTCATTCTTCCACAAGTATGTCACTAGCAAGTAAGAATGCAGGTTAAAACTTAAATTGTTTCATTCCAGCATATATATACATATATACTAGTGAAAACAGTGAATGAAGGAAGCCAAACATAAATAACCTTTGGTAACTAAAGAATCTTGCATACATGAATCGAATTCACAATATGTAAATCAGTTCGCAATTTGTATACTTAGGCGGGATTATTTCACTATAGTTTCCTTTGGAAACCGAAATTATCCAACTCACAATATGCGATCTGCTTGATACCATTAACAGTGGTAATTAAAAAACCAAGAGTACATGCAAAAAACTATATGCTACTGATTGACTGAGATGAGCAATTTTATACCACAAAAACCAACTAGTAGTGTTTTCTAGTCAGATCGAAGTGATCTGAGCACAGGACGGTAGTTTCGCTAATTTCAGGCCAACCTCAGCAACGGTGTATCCAGTTTGATTCAGCTCAGAGGGTCGAATCAGTTTAAACCACCCGATGTTGGCATGCATACACGCAACCAAAAATTTAAAAATATACAGTTCTGTAAGTCATAAAAGTAAGTCAGTGGGTGTATAATAGATCTGCTTTTCATCCTATCTGTATCTCAAGAAACAATGCGACTTGCATCCAACACTGCTAAACAAGCAAAAGGTTTCCTATTCTACACTTAAGATTATATATATATATATATATATATATATATATATATATATCTGTTTATCTGTCATCTTGCATGAATGATTTATACAAAACAATGTATGCCAGATGATCTGAGATGGGTATACTAACCCAAATTATGCCTTGTCTTCTCTCATTCCCTTACGTTCCAGGTGGAATATAGGCTTTTAAGTTTCATTTGCGGTAATATTGTCTTTTTTACAGGGTGAAGTTGCTAGCCTCACATCCAACCTTCTTTCTTTACCTGATTTACTACCAGGAATGCGTTGGCTGGGAATCAAACCCGGACCATGTCCGTGGTTGGTGAGCATTCTCTATTGCTGAACCAGCAACGCAATTATACCTGGTAAGACACTAAAACTCAAAGTTACACACCCTTAAGCACAGAGACTCACTACAATACCTAGACGACCATTAAGCTTATCAATATTCACATACATGAAAACACCTTTTAACGCCTACCTGATACAATGATTGTCTTTTATCTCTAATGAACAGTAGAAGCTTAAAAGACAATCGCCATATAAAACGCATCGCTTAAAACAGAATACTAAATTTGGATAGAAAACAAGCCAACGAAGTCCTGACTTATAAACTAACCTGCAACCTTTTACAAAGGTACCAGGAATACTAGTTAGGTCAAAATAAAAATTGCATTAGCATTCTGAGAGTTGTAACATTCAAAACCGATGAGAGTTTTGAATTTATTGGAAATCCAAAGCATATATTTGAGAGATTAAATCCAAACACTAACGGAATTTCACACAAGTACTTACAGCAATTTTAGAAAAAAAATGTATTCGGTAGTAAAACTGTATTAATTAGGAGACTTTATATAATATGTACAAATGGAATAAATTTAAGTAAATCAGGACTTCAAAAGTTACTTGTTGCGATTCAATTCTAAAAACCTTTCACATAATGCAGAAAGACCATTACTAGCCAAGAGCTGGCACTCTGTATCAGTATCGGACACTGAGCAAGATTTCAGCCAACCTGAAAGAGTATTGTCTTCAGAGTTTGTATTATTACCATATGGTAATAATGAATCCCTGAAGATCAACCGTGGTCTAGATGATAGGATTTCTAACGGAGTTGTAGTGATAACTGTCCCAACAGTTATAAGTAGAGCACGTCGTACTGCAGATTCAGGATGACGATAAAACAGAGGAATTAGATCTAATAGCTCGTCAGCCATCCGGTTTTGAACAGAAGAGAATCTGGAGCATGCGTACATAGTTCCTAATGATGCTAGCAAACTGGCCAACAGAACTGCTTCTTGGTGAGCGAAGGTCCCTTTAACAGAAGAGAGCGATAAGTTTGGTATACTTTTTAACAAAGGGAAGAAAAACTCGCCAGCAACATGGCTAAACTTGTTGACAAAAGCCGAAGGAGGTGAACGTTTCTTAAAAAACCGTCGAGTTTTCCCTTTCTGAACTTCGCTGGTTTGAATGGCATCATTTTCGACCACGTGTTGCTTTGCAGGAAGTTTCTGACAAAGCAGCGCCTCTTTGCCACCGTAGAGTTCACAAGCAATATCAGTGAGGCATGATATAATATACATTTTTTTGCCCACAGAGTTCTCTTGCTGACAAAATTGTGAAGTCAGATATCGAGCACATTTTTTGGGGGCAACCACTCCAATAGCTATTAAGGCTTTATGTCTAGCATGGGCTACTTCTTTTTGATCGGGAGTTACGGGTGGTTCAACCTGAATAAGCGCATTAGCGAATTCTAGAGCCAGTTCTCGAGCTGCTTCCGGGTGGTCACGAATGAGCTTCTCTGCAGATAGGGTACATGCAACGTTTACCTTGCTATCTTCAACTTTAGTTAGTAGCATTCCATCGAGGCATTCGCGAAGATAATGAGGAGTTTTATCACTGTAACTTGAACATTGAGTAGAGGGAAGTGGTTTCAAAGAATCATTATCTGAATCTGGATCATCATCACTATCCAATTCATGTACAGTTTGATTTACAGTGCTATCTTCGCCATTCGACTCTGAAATATAAGATAACAGTAAAAACACATTATCAGTTAAAAAATTAGCAGAAGTTTGCTAGTGGCTCAGTATTGATAATGAGATTTTTGGCGGCCACTATATAAATGTTTGTGCAATGAAAAGAATAAAAACTAATAGAAAAGAAAAGAATCTAAACAGTCTTAATCATAATGGAACAAGATGAGTTACTGAGAACCAAACAGTGTTTGCATGGTAACTATGAAATACAACAGTGAAAAAACAAATAATCGAATAACTGTTCATTATAATAAAGGTTTTTGTATTTCGCAATGAATGAACGAAAAACAAAACGATATTGTTTTTACTGACGTTTCGCTATTTAATGCTAATAGCTTTATGTTAATAATCGAATAACTGCCTTAAAATTTCAAATAGACGAAAGCAATATTATCTTACTGTTCTATTTGTATCTTACTTCTATACCGAGTAAAGGATACAATACTTCGATCAGTGTCCGTGAATTTTAAAATACGCTATAACTTCCTGAAAGCTAAGGTGTTATTTACGAAATGCCAGTTACAAGTATATTCACCTTAATAGCGATACTATTTTAAGTCCTGAACTGTACCAATTCTAGTGACACAACTTTGAGCACGGTTTTACTTTACTAGGTAATACATGCAGTTACTAATACACGTGATGTTTCATGAGCTCGCAACCAGGGACAAAATTCTTTTTTTTAACGTCAAATGACAGCAAGGAGAAGCCACCCGATTTACAGGTTTTTATCGTTAGTTCATATAAAGTGTAGTGGCAACATGGTCACTGAAACATGAAACTTACTGATTCGATACTAGTTGCATATTTACTGTTCCACTGCAGAAACTAGAACTAGAAAGAAAAAAATTCTACTCGTAAATAACATTCTAATTAGGCAATAAGTACACCTAGATATATTACTTCAACCTTCCAACGAAAATACATATGAAAATGTTGAGCGTAAAATCTAGATAATAATAACTCACCGTGGTCACGTGAAGCGACAGTATCTTCGTGAGAATCGCTTCCCGATATTGTCTCAGTGGGAATGGTAGCCTGTAGGTTAGATTCCACTCCATGATTTTCATCCAGAGAAACAAAATATGGCCGGATTTGTTTTAGGAACTCTAGTTCCACATAATCAAATTTTAGCTTTTGATCTTCACTTCCTGTATCCCATTTGAGAAGTGTTACGATCCACTCTCCTATAACCATACCAAGAGTACGTATCTCGATTCTTGGACTGGCAAGGTGGTTAGAAATGCCAGATAAAACATCAGGTAACAAATCATCATCTCTTATCGTAAACTGAGAACTCAGCACATTCCGGAAATCAACGAACCACGAAATAAAAATCTGAGATATATATATACGTCTTTCTAAAGAAGCTGATTGTATCGAACTCACATCTGACCACACGCTAAGAGCAGGTAAGCCTAAATTTTCATCGACTTGTTCAATCAGTTGGATGGACTTCTCCTGAGACTCACGTTTTTTCACCGCCAAACAAAAGGAGCTGAAAATGTTTCTGATGGTATTACCTGTTCGAAATTGGCGAATATAGAAGAGACGACGACATAGTCTCATATATGCATCAAAGCCAGTGGAAGTCTCTAGAAGTTCAGATATCAACGCATAATACATGCTTGAAGTAGGGCATTTCTTAGCCAACGGTGATAATGTTATCTCCAAGGCTTTGGCGTTGACATATTTTAGAAACTTTGACCACAGATGGATTGTATTTCCAATACTCTGTTTAATGATGAAATCTGATACGTGTTCAGTATATCCTGTCATACAGAGACAACTAACTGCCAGACCAATAAATTGACAGCTTCTTTCTGAAATTTCAGCAACACGTTCAAAAGCAGACAAGACTTTTATAACAAAACTACTATCGTCGGTAAAATAAGAACAACCTCCATGTTTCAAGTTGGAAACAAGTGCCGGAATGTTGCACAATAACCTAACACGGGATTCCATGAAAGCAGGAGCACATTCCGAATGGACATCAACGTTGTGTAAGCAGGCATTAATAAAATCAGAAACTCTATCAAGCTCTGAGAAAAATCTCTCCAACTCTTTGACAACTAAGTCTTTCCCGGAAGCATCTAATTGGCCAACTAAGGCACACATGCACTCAAGCCACACATCAGCTTTTGAATACTGAGTAATATACCCAGCTAAGTGTAGTATTTCTGAGTTTGGTGACTGTTTAACCTTCTCAAAAACGTGAAGAATAATCCGGTAGAAATATTTGTCATACAAAAGCTTTTCATCTTCTTCGGTAAGGCAAAAATCCAATTCACTTTTATCTAAGGGATATTTTAAAATACTCCTGACGCATGACACGGCGCTTTTATTATCCACATCAGCTAAGTAGTCCTCCAGTAAACTTATCATCTCTTAGTGACGCATGCTGTTTGGTGCCTCAGAATTAAATATTTTGACAGCCTGCCGACGGAGGATGGCGGCACACACGTCTTATGGGGAGGCTGAGCACTCCAAGGTCACTTATGAATATTGTGATTGGTAGCTTTTTCTTTGCGTAAACGTTGCGGCTAATACGTGATGTACGTTACTGAGACGGCTTTGGAATAGCAATAATAAAATCAAATAGACACTCTATTTTTCAGCTTACAGAAGCAAGTTAATATATGTATAAATTTTAAAGATCTGAAAGTCACTGAAGGTAAGAGTAAACAATAGAAATCAAAGCCAAATGACACTGATGTAACCAATCAGATAGCTCACCATTACAAATGGTTGCTAGTCGTAATCCTCGTTGACAGTATCTCTAAGATTTGGTTTTGACTTCTCTGTGGAAAATCGGTTGAAAGGAGAGAATAAAACATGCATATGTGTAGGGATAATAACTCTGAAAAAGTATTGCCGGGCTACTGGTGGTTATGCATTCAGAACTTCCAAAATATCTGTCGCACTTTCTTCCCTAAAAAGCAAATATTACACAACTGATTCTCTTACCCAACCGTTACAACCGAATAAAATGGATGAAGTAGTCAAACTTTGAACTTCTTTGATTAAGTTAGCCAGTAATATTCTTGTTGAAAGTGGATCCGATGCCGCAACGGATCTGGTGGTGACAAAAACTGCGAAGACCAGTACAACACTATTACCAACGGAGACTAACTGGTACGGATGTTGTGCATATAGTGATTAGTACACTTGATGATGACTATGACGCAGTTATAAAAAAATCTACAACTGTGTATTTTGCACGCAGGTGGAGTTAAGTCTACCCCGGTAACAACCAAGTCCCAGTGATAGCAATCACGTCAGGTTGTAGGCTTTCAGATTATTCTCCTTATTCGGCGAGCTTACACTTAAACACCTACGTGTTAATCCGGCTTGTAGAGAGAGGTCTAGGCTGCGTCGGTTTCCGAGACCTCGCCACCCGAAAACCCAATAACTTGAGGTCTTTTTTGCCTTTCTCTGGCCTGGCCTTTAGCTTAGGTACGGCTTTGGTTCTCTTGGTTCTATCTTCTAACGGCCAACCAGGCCCTATTTTGAAACTTTTACCACTGATTTTGAACGCACTGTTGAGGGTGGTGCTGCTCTTTGTCTCGTTACTTAAAACTATCTTAAATAGTCATCGGGAAGTTTCCACAGCATCAATCTTTCCTTTTCCGATCCCGTTGGCATTTCTGTGTGGACTCCAGCTTATCTTCAGGAAGTACTTCCGAATAATAGAGCTAACCGCCTTCAAATCGTATGCATGTCAGGCTGACGGATATGTGTTTTTAGATTACTCTAAGCTCCAGGTGATGACACTGTAACTGGAGTCCGCAGGTTTTGGAGTTTGGTTGGTAATAACAGACACCGAGACTTTGTTAGTAAATCCGGTTACTCTTTCTCTCCTACATTTATTCAGCCTCTTACTTGTCAGCATCAACCAAGTTGAGTTGTCTTCTTCCACTTCGTCTTCACCAGATTTAGAAGCCAGTCGTACACTAGACATCCTGAGCTTTGGCATGGCCGTTTCATCCTCTGGTATAACTATGCAATTGCATACAACCACAGCAACATTGCAACACAACCACATCAAAGTTAATTAGAATATCCTCAACAACGTGAGATGAAAACTCCATCTGCAAGAATCAGACAGAATGAAGCAGGTATATGCAGACCTTACGGATACTGCTTTTTCAAATTAGGAGAGCTACCTTGATCTGGGTGCAGCCCACCCATCCGGCAAAATGCTGCACAACACATTCCATCAACAGAGTTTTTGAGCAGTGTATACATGTAAGGTAGTGTTGCAGGTAATCCTTTCCTTTTAAGCGTGAACAGCCTAAGAACAAGACAGTGTTATCTGTTGGGATAATTTGGTTTATCTCTCCAAAGTAAATGAAGAGAGTCCGCTGGTGACTGATTTCACTTGAAAGAAACTAATTTCTGACTGATCCTGGTAGAACTACAGTTATTTTCCCTAATAATGTGAATGAAAAGATCGCGTTCATATTTGTTCTGAGGCGTGGAATATGATGATTGCATGCAGTGGATAAAGGCTATGTTACCCAATCAACATATGTTTTCGAAACATCTTTGTGTTACACAGTCAATAAGGAAGCAGATGCATACAATATTTTCGTATACCAAGGCAAGCTATCATTTTTCGGACTGAATGATCCTCAGTGCTCAGAGAAATTGGTATCCAAAGCTTTTCGAAATCATAATCATTAATCGTTATGAAATACATTTTTATTGATGCTATTTTTTACATCTCATTCCTCTGCATCCCGAATGAGCTTCCAGATATAGCCATTAACTTTCAGTCGCAATGGCGTTTGCTTTTGTGGAGCAAGTTTACTAGGCTCACGCCCAACCTTTCCAATATATCTGGTTTGCTTCCTTCTAAGCGAGGCTTAGCAGTGCGCCAACAGAGGATCGGAATTTAGAACAAGCAATAAAGTTTAATAAAGGAGGATTTAATGAATTAATCAAATTTCGATAGAATCCGTAAGCTGAGTACTCTACACACACGGTATCAATGTAATTGAAGATTTGACGATCAATCCATGGTTATTCGCTCAAACCCAACTCTTCCATATTCTTCGCACGTCATCAATCCGGCAGTCATCGTTTCATCGTTCGCTGTTCGTTGGAAGACAGAGAAAAAACTATCAGAATCTTTGTGTTCAGTAACCTGATGGTTGGCTTTGTATTGATGCAATAATAAAGGGTTCTTGAGTCACCAAATTGTGTTCTGGTATTTTGTGTTGGTTATTGAGCATAGTTCCCGAAAGTCTTCCAAGGACAGTGTGAAGCCTAGAGTAGTTAGACCCGGACATTGACAGTTTCTCAAGATTCTCCTGAAATTGTTCGTCTTATTTGTTGTCAATTTGTCTTTACTCGCGTCTGCCCATCTTCTTTGGATGAGTGTTATCTGGAACTTTTCTGGATTTTTCGGTCAAGTTCAGTGATGCTTGGGTCACGGAAAGTACAAAGCGTTTTGGAAGCAGTCAGGAAAGTAAGTAATGATGAGTTGCCTGTTAAATGTAATGATGTGTGTGATGCTATGCATGATAAGATTGATGTCCATGTTTCGCCGTCTATGGATAGTAGGAATTTAAACTGCCTAAATATGAACCTTGGTGTTTCAACGGAAACCCAGCTGACCATCCAAAGTTTGTAAAAGAGTTTGAAGTCATGTTGAGTGGGTTTGCAATGAATGACGAAGTGAAGTAAATGTGTTTGTTGAGGTTTGGCGCTGGTGTTGCTTCAAGAGCTATACAGTGCTGCAGGTTTATATATCCGAACGAAGGATATACAACGGCCATGAGGATATTACGTCAAAGGTTTGGAAGGCCATTTATGATACCCAGTATTATTTTTGAGACCATCAAAGGTAACCAGTTCGTCTGAAAGGGAAGTTCATAAAGGTTATTTCCCGGCTAGAGGAAGATGGTTTGGAGCCTAAATTCGATGATATTGTGAGCCTGACGCAAGACAGTGTCAACCAAGCAACGGGCAAATTCGCCAGCACTTTGCATTCTAAAGTAGAACTTATAGAACCGGTGAATATAAAGAAAGCATTTGTAGTGAAGGCTCGAGACACACCGAGCCATAACACGCATCAATTGAGTGATTGCAATCGCTTGATTGCTATATCTCCCGTAGAAAGATTGAAAATGGCAAAACAGAAGCGTTTGTGTTTCAGTTGTTTAAAGATGGGGCATACAAAATTGAATTGTAAGGCGACAGACAAAGGAAGTAGTGGTTCAACCGATGTGCACCCACTTCTGAGGACAGTAAACGAACTGGGGAATTCGGCTAATTGTAATAGTACATTTAGACCCCTTGACAACCCACAAGTTTATTTAGCGGTATTATCAGTTAAGGTGAAAGGACAGAAATCCTCAGTAGAGACTTATGCATTGTTGGATAATGCTTCGGACGTTACATTGATAGATGCTAAGCTGGCTGAAAACCTGGGTATTAAGAGCCCAAAGCAATCCTTGGTTCTAAATACTTTCAATTCTTCGAAAACGGTATTTTGTGAACGAGTGTCATTTCAGTTAGAATCCTTGAGTACTGGGGAAACCGTTGAAGTAGATACTGCTTAAACTACCTCCAGTATGAAACTCGGCGAAGCTATAGTACCTAGTCGTGAAACGGTTTTCGGTAAGCCATACCTGTGTGACATACCGTTTCCAACACTGCAAGATGGTAGAGTGAGACTGTTCATTGGATGTAGTGTGCCAGAAGCTCACAAGATATTAGAAGAGAGATTCGGAGGTAGAGATGATCTGTTCGCGACGAAAACACCGCTGGGATGGACAGTGAGAGGACCTATACCCATAGTCCACATATCATCATTAGTTGCAAACAATGGGGACAAACCAGAGACTAGGATTAGAAATATGTAGGACAAGGAGTTTTGTGACTGCTTTGTCCCAGGGAAGGGTCGTTCTGTAGAAGACTTAAAGGCAATTAAAATAGTTGAGGTGTCTTGTAAATACGAAAATGGGCGTTTCAGCGTTGGCCTACCATGGAGATTTAAAGATAGACAGTTGGTTTGTAATAGAGAAGTTGCTCTTAAGAGACTAATGGGTTTAAAGAAGAAGTTTCTTACGGATGCAGAACTCTGGACCAAATATGATGTCGTCGACAAACATGTAATGAAGCGTTACGTTGAAAGACTAGTTGATCACAGCGATCCAGGGAAGGGGTATTTGTCCCATCATCCCGTCTTTAACCCGAAGTAACTCCGTGAAAAATGTGTTCTGTTCTGCGAAACATGAAGGAGTCTCTTTGAATGATAACCTGTTTAGTGGCCCAGATTGCGTGAGCTCATTAGTTGGACTGTTGTTAAGATTCAGAAAGTTTGCAGTCGCTGTCGCTGCGGATATTGAGGAAATGCTCCTACAACTGAAGGTGCC